AAGTGCTCAGACCCTGTACCCCTGTGTCCGGGAGGGTCTGGGCCTGCTGGTGGGAGGAAGACCCTCAGGGCCCTCAGGCAGCCAGAGCCAGGGGACAGCCCACTCTGCTCACCTGAACCCCCTACTCCACATCTTCTGTCTCAGGGACGCCTAGTTTCCTTGGCATCTGTCTCTCACCTTCCAAACTCACCTCCGTGCCTTGGACTATTCCTGGGGTTATATGACAGCTGGGGTTCAATAAATGATTGATCCACCGATGAATGAATGAAGAGGGGACTGTAGGGGAGCACTGTGCAGAGAGGGGGTGGGCAGGAACGCCAGGATAAGGAGTGGGGGCAGGGATGGAGAGGGGGTGGTCAACGGTGGCAGAGCCTGGGATGGGGGCCCTGGGGCCAGCAGGATGCCCTGTGCTCTGCTGGGACGTCTCTGGTCACCGTCTGCCCTGCCTGAGGCTGCAGCCGGTTATTTATGACCCCTCCTCCCTTCCCCTCCCTCCCCTGGCGGCTGCAGAGGCTCTGGGCCTCGGCCGGCCCATCGGTGGAGGGGCCCTGAGCGGGGGATTACGAGCAGCGACAGACGCTGGTGCCCAGACCCGTGGGTGGAGCCTCAGCCAGAGCAGGGCGGCAGGCTGTGGCCAGGGTCCAACCAGTGTTGACCAGAATGCCAAGCTGAGGTGCGGACAATTCTGGTTCCAAAATTCTGCCCCTTTGCCCTCTGCCTCCTGCTGGAGCAGCAGGCAGGAACGTGCAGAGTCAGGTACCCCAGGCCAGGACACAGGTGTGGGAGTTCCCGGAGTGCGGGCAGAGGGGCTGTGTCTGCCCTGACTGGCCAAGGCCCTGTGCAGCTCCTGGGGTGGTCTCCTGTGTGTCTGAGGGTAGCCCTGTGAAGACAGGGTCCTGCAGGTTGCTCTGCACCCAGTCAGAGACGTTTCAGGAAGAGACCCTGCTCCTCCAGGAGGGGTGGGGCTAGGCTGGGGGAGCTAGGTTAGACTCCACCCTCCACTACCCCCTCACAGCCAGGCAGACCCCTCCCCTGAAAGCGGAGTCAGGCCTGTGCCCAGCCTAACAGCACTGTGGACCAGTGTGTGGGAGCAAGGGGTGGTGCTGTATGGAGGGGGGCAAGGCCCCTACCTGCCCAGGGCTGCAGGCCTGACCCACCAGGTCAGGTGCCTTCTCAGGTGAGGGGACACTGGGGTCAGGAGAGCTGTGGACACAAGCCCTCCCTCCCAAGTCACAGTGTTAGGATCAGGGGTCAGGTGGGCCTGTTCCTGCTGGTGCTCACAGGGGCAGGTGAGCACCCGCTGGGAGGCTGTTTTTGGCAGCAGGGTCAGGGCTGTGGCCAGACCGTGGACACAGGAACCATGTTCATTTGGCCTCTAGCCAGGCTGACAGCCTCTCCCCTCAGGCCACAACCCCCAACAAACCAGACAGCCTCTCACCATCTCAGGCATCACACCTGAGAGCAAAGCAGGCTGAGCTGGGTAATGTGTCACACCTGGGGTATTTGCCTGCAGGTGTCCAGGCTGCCAACAAGTGGCAGTGTGAGGGTCACTATGTCCCCACCCACATTCTTGTGTGGGATATGGAGTGAGCAGCCCCAACTCCAGAGGCTGTGCGCTGGAGCCTCAGACACAGCCCCTTCTGAGCAGCAGCAGCCTCCTGGGCCCCGTCCTTGCTCCGAGTCGGCATCGGGGTCTGTGATGCCTCAGCTGCTGAGGGTGAGTTGGCAGAGGGGTCCCAGTGGTCAAGCCACCTTCCAGGCTGGCACTGGCCTCTGGTAGGAAGTGGGTGGGTGGGGTAGGGGCTTTTCCCGGGCTTGCCCTCAGCTCCCAGCCCCTCCCTGACAGAAGGTGCTCTTGGGCACAGGCCCGGGCAGGGCATAGGTCAGGGAGATGCCCACAAGGACGCCCTGCCAGGTGCAACAAGCAGCCCACCCATCTCAGAGGGGCTGAGTTGGTCAGGATGTGGCAGAGGGAGCTCGGCTGGGTGCTGGATGGTCTCTGAAGTACGTTCCAGCTTGTCCAATGTGACTTGCCCAGAGAAAGATAAGCAGGTCTCACCAACTGTTCTTGGGTGCCTTTCCTAACAGGCCCCTGCAATGCTGGCGGCAGGGAGATGTGGGTGGGCAGAGCAGCCCACCAGAGGACAAATGGGGCCCTCATTCGAGGTTAGGTGGAGGCCACCAGGAATCTATGCTCCACTCATTTTTGTTCAGGGGTCAGACTTCCTGGGTTTGAAACAGCTGTGTGACACTGGGTGAGTTCCCTGACCTCTCTGTGTCTCAGTTTCCTCATCTGTGAAATGGGATAATATAGAACCCTCAAAGCGGGTGGATCACAGAGCTAGAATCAAGTGAAGAGTTAGGGTGCAACAACTGACCAAATTGCTGTCTGATTGTTCACAGAACACGGATCCTCCCTAACGCGGTCCCGAGGCCACACGCCACAGATCTCAGCCTCCCACCCTGCAGGTGCACAGAGGAGACCACCCACCCGCACACCTTCCAGAACTGCTAGCTCACACAATCTCCACCAGCTAAGGGGGCCAGTGTGCTGCCCCTACCCCGCGCGCACCCCGCACGCGCACCACGTGGAGTCCTGGACTCCAGCTTTCACCCATACCAGCTGCTGGTGAAGTGACCCCAGTTAACAAAGGCGCGGTCTGAGCGCGCTCTGCGCGTGCCGTCTTGCCCACATCTGTGTCGCGGGGCCTTCCTTTCTTCTGCTTTGACCCCCTCGAGAATACGGCAGGGTATGCAGACCGGTCCCGCCGCCGCCGCCCCCGCCTGTGTGAGCC